ATATGCGAAACAATTTTCCTTCTATCCAACCACACACAATGTGCGTTTAAGTTAGCGGATGAGATTCTTTCAGTCTCTTTTGGCATAAATGTTGCATAAGTCTCATTTATCTTCTCTTCAATGGCCTTCATACCCTTCGAACACTGAGATTAAATGGACTTTGACATTTTTATCGCATAGAGTAAGTAGAGATGGGTGCAAGTTTAGGAAGGTTTGGACACGGGAGTCTTCTCTGGCTTGGGAAATGTTGGTCGCTCCGCATTCACGAGGTTTTACTCGACTACCCGGCTCCTCTTTAAAGGGTACATTTAAACAACAAAAGTATTACAAAGCCCTTTTGCTTCTTCGGGGCCGTTGGCTTCTAATTCACCGTCCGGTGATTTTCAGCTTTTCGTTAGTGCACAAACCTCATCTTCATATTCAACCGGTGGCACCCCATCGTAGGGTTGCATATTGCTGTGGTGAAAGGTTACTGGCTGGGTACGTGGTTGTGCGTTGTAGACGAGGTATTTGTAGGTGAGAGTTCTTTCGCCACGCGAAATGGGCTTTTGCTTCATGGGTGATGGAACTTGAGGTGCATTTCAGGTGGGGAATTGGCCTATAAATTTGCATTAAGTCTCCTTCTCGGTAGATGTTCGTCCGGCTGTATCGGTCTTAACATTTCTCTTCCCTGATATAAGGCAGCCTTAAATGCTTATGCGCGATACTAGAAGTTCATCTTGCGCCTTCTTTGAGATGCGTTTGGTACTCTGGAACATTGTCGGCTGCTTCGTCGGTGCTTGGCAGGAAGATGTAAGAAGGCACTCACATTTTACTACCTTTGAGCAATTCGACCGACAATGCACCCATTGGAATACGGACCATAGCCATGTACGCTTGGAGGACACCATCTATGCTTAAATCTTAGTCTTCTGGATGTGCCTTAGGTAGTCCTATCAGATTACGATTCGTTCATTCCACCTGTCAGTTGTCATGTGAGTGCCAAGGTGTTGTGGGTGTCTTTGAGATCTGTAAGGTCTTACATAGTTCAGTGAAGAGTCTGCCCCCGAAGTTAGGGCCTTGATCGCTATGAAAGGATTCAGGAGCTCCAGGCCGGCAAATCCATCGACTAAAGAGAACTGAAGTACCCATTTTAGAGCCTTTCGGCTGCTTGGGTTCTGCCTTGACTGCTTTTTTGAAGTGGTCTACCATAACAAGAATATGTCAGTTTCCTCTGTTTGTGGGCGGTAGAAGACCCATAATGTTTATATCC